AAAAAAACTATATGTATATTAATTTAATAAATAAAATAAAATTTTTATTTTATTTTAACTTGCGATTGCTTAAAAATATCCTTTAAATAAAATAAATAATTACCCAACATCAGGAAATTTTTTCAGGGGATATATAACGATATATATCTCTTTATCATTATTTATCACATTAATTATAATATGTGATATATATCAATAATAATCATACTCATAGAGTGATATCGATGTGGATAAAGTATCAGATTTTAACCTAAACGATAAATATCGATAAATATTTAAACGATAAGCATCGAATTTGATAAACACTAATAAATATGCTAATAATAAATAACTTAAACGATAAGAAATACAATTGAAATTTAACCAATATGATAAATGCATTTATTTTATTATATAATGATAAAATACTATATAAAATAATGTAATCCTTTATAAATTTTATTATAATAATGATAAAATACTGCTATATAAAATAATGTTAAGGAATATTAATAAGAAAAAAAATAAGCAAAAAAATAAGTGATAAAAATAGCTGTAAACAGAAGCCTAAATCAAAAAGTAACGAAATCGTAAAATTAAAATGAATAACATTAAACTTAAAACTTAATTCATAAATAGAATGAATTAAAATAATTACCGTTATTATTCAAATAATTCATCGTATGATTTAAAACTTGTATCGCCAAACATTGTTTAGTCTTTGGGTGGCTCATCATCTTCATGATCTTTATTGTCTTTCTTTTTGCTATAATTGTCACTGAGCACTTCTTCACATAAGACTGATATTGAATCGTCAAGCGCAATTTTACCATTTTTATCAAACGCTTCCTAATTTTGACATTTATTAATAAAATTAATTTTTAAATAACAAAATGAATTCGATAATACCCTAAATCTTTTTAATTGCAATTCCAGCAATTTCTTGGTGACTTCGAGAGTGAGACAAACTGGATTTAATAAAATATCACATACAGATACTGTGTAGATGTACATATCGTTAAATTCTTCATCGTTAGCATTATTTAGTGATAGAAATGTGACACTAGTGATATTTTCTATCATGGTCCTATTAGTGAACAATTTGTTATAATTATCTTTTACTTTCTTGGATTGCTTCCATTCCAGGATATCTCTCGAGTTTTTACGTCTATTACTCTTCATTTGTAGTCTGAATGTTCTGAGAATAGCATTTTAGATTGCTAAGACATGACTTTCTTTCATGCTTTTCATTTTCCGCATGAGATATCATAAAATAAAATTAAAATTAAATATTTAAAAATTAATAATTAACTGACAATAATTACCAGAAAATGATGTTTTCCAATAAAGGTGTTGATCCATTCTGGTTCACCCAATTCATAAATATAATTCAGATAGCTCGAATTTAGCTATTTTTTCAATGATCGTTGATATTTCTCTAACTTTGGCCATGTGTTATTTGAAAAAAATTCAGCACATACTGCGCTATATCCATCCTATATAATATGGTTGTGAGGTAGTAGAGGTAAATTGATGAGAAGAATTCAAAACTTCTTCTTCTTCTTCTTCTTTTTCTCTCTACTATAATATGTTTCACGAGAACATTCTTCAACACGTCTACTTCTTCTTAAGCCCCTTACATGTACTGCGCCTCTTACCTCTCTTGTAACTAAAATAAAATATTCAACGTGTATTAACGTTTATTAATACTTAACATTTATTAATACAATAATGTAAATAATGTAGAAATTATTATTACCTTCTGTATTTCTTAAATAAATTTCATCGCTATGTTCCTCATCTGATTTATGATATTTTTGGTTTGATGTTTCTAAAAATTGAGCTTCCCGACGTTTATAAGTCATTTTTTTTTAAAAAAAAAAGTGTGAGAAAATGAGAAAATTTGAAAAGAATGAGTAAGAAAGTGCTAATATTTTAAAAAGAGGGCGTGAAGAAAATTAAAAAGCGTGCGAGAAAAAAAAATATTAGAAAGCGAGAGAAAAAAAAAGTTAAAAAAGCACGATTAGAAAGTTAATAGAAAGTTTAAGAAAAATTACCCTTATATAGTATATTTTTGCTATTTTTGATATCAATCGTTATGAATCTCACTTAAAATGATTTACTTTGCGATTTAGTTTATTTAATTGTGATTC